AATTTATAGGAAGAAAAGTACCAGGGTATTATGATATCAAAGAGATGTATTATTAAAATGCTGTAATAATCTTAGTAGCAAAAAGGTAAAGTGAAATAATTGTATTATTTGTATTCATGTCTATGATAATAAAATCCTTTTGTTTAAACTTTATCTAATTTAACTTTATTTAACCAATTTCTAGAAAGTTGCATGTAGATCATTTTTCGAAAAATAAGGCCATAAACAAGTTTCACTTCTTACGTGTGTACACTAGTACACGCACACATTTTTTTTTTATTTGTTACTACACATAATAGTTTCCTGTCAGCAACATTATTGTACAATTACCCTTATTTACTTCTTTAAAGCTTTTACTTTTACCTGATGCAAGGATGTCTAACGGCTGCATTGAGAGATAATTTATTTTCGAAACCTCTGCCCATGTTCGTAGCAAACTGCCCACACGAAGTCCACTGGCCCTCGTACGCTTTCGTTCTTTAAGTGTTTCCGATTCTATACTTTCAGTGTCTATACTTGTTTTTTTTATATCCAACACAATATTGGGATGTCTACTAGTCATGTTAAATTATTAAATTATTTCAAGGTTGTTGTTTTTATCGCGTCATATAACGACGTTCGTATTATGTACGAATATGCCAAAATCTAACATTTTGTATTTATTGATTTACTTTTAAAAAGAGGCTCAATACCTTTACAAAGACATCGAGAATATATTATCTTTAGTTTTATTTATTATCATTTCAAGCAGATGAGTCAAGCCGCTACTTAGTGTAAGAATGTGGTTCACAAACTGATTTTAAATAAAAAAAGTTGTCGAAATACGATTTCACGAGCATACTTCCGGATATCGCTGGCGGCTAGTTAATAGTAAAGGTGTTTTAATTATGTTTTAAAATCAAAGCTGTGTGTGAAAAGCTCTTCCGAAAGAACTATGAGGTAACGAACTCTAGCTTTTGTTTTGCAGTTTCTTTTGATGTTATGAAAACTACTCGCCGGTTTTGTAAAACACAGTACATTTTGGCTTTTAAATAGGTCTGGAAAGCTTTTAGACTCTAAATAATTGCAGTGGAATGTCGTTGTTTGCTTACAGCCCATTTCTTTTTGTTTTTTTGTTGTTTTTAGGTAGAAATATAACCTTACCTTAATTATTTTATAGTTTGATACCTTTTATTATGACAAATATATATGTCCTATTTACTAATGTTATTATGACCTACTAAGATTCTCTGTGGATCGAGATTCCGATCCGGTTGTGGAATCATCGAAGCATTACTCTTGCTAGGGTTAGTGTTATTAAGTACTCCTAGGCTGAGCCCCGTGAGCTTATTGGAATGGCGTCTTAAGCTACCAAGGCTTAGGAAGAAAAAAAATTTTTTTTATCTCATGCATACAAGTGAAAATTTGTATGTTGTTTCGTAGCCTAAACTCCGGCACACGATTTATCCGATCCACTTAAAACTTAGTCAAGTTTCTGTTGATTCTTCATGAAAGGTTTTTATCATAAGAGAATTATCGCAATAAATGACCCGTAACTTTGTAGTTTCAACACTGGAGCGTATATTTATTTAGTGATCACTGCGAATATTTAGTTTTTTATACGAGTACTTTAATCGTTGCCGTAAAGAAAACACGTTCCGAAGTTTTATGTCTTATGGACTTTTTGACCAGTCAAGGGTTTCTCGCCAGGTCAAAAGAGGGAGTTATTTTACTTCGGTTCCGCACGTTACAACTCTTAATTATTTTTTATGTAATGTACCAAAACCTAGGTGCGGTACAATTCTATTTAACGTTAAACGATAATTTTACCTAATAACTCTGAGAATAAAGTCCACTGACCTTACTTAGTGTCTATTAAGGCTAATCACTTTGTTCATGTTGATGTGTGATGTAAGTAAAGAAAATGCAGGTAGCACTAAATACGTTGTGTTCGTTAGGTATTACACCTCTATAAGCTGACTTGATGAATTAATTAAACATGTGATTTCTTAAAACTTTCTACGATCGCCGCATGAGTTTCCGTAGGTATATATGTACTTATTCCCGATACTGGTTGATTATATTACTGGTGGTAGGACGTCTTGTGAGTCCGCACGGGTAAGTACCGCCACCCCGCCTATTTCTGTCGTGAAGCAGTAATGCGTTTTGGTTTGAAGGGTGGGGCAGTCGTTGTAACTATACTGAGACCTTAGAACGCATATATCAAGGTGGGTGGTGGCATTTACGTTGTAGATGTTTAAGGGCTTCAGTAACCACTTACCACCAGGTGGGCTGTGAGCTCGTCCACCCATCTAAGCAATAAAAAAAAATAAAAAACCTAAAACGTCTCGTAGCAATTGACTCGTAGTAGGTTCCATCCCGTAACTTTTGTTTTAAGATTACGACAAGATTTGTCCCGGGATGAGCTCTCTGTCCGTAGTAGCCAAGCAACTTATTACGTTTACATTTAGTGGATACCACCAACTGAAACTAGGTTAATATATCGAGTTTTATGATTTGCGAGGAGGAATGTCCTTTTTTTTTTTTTTATTGCCCTTGTAGGCAGACGAACATACGGCCCACCTGATAGTGAGTGGTTACCGTCGCCCATGGACTTCAGCAATGCTAGGGGCAGAGCCAAGCCGCTGCCTACCGCTTAATACTCTCCATAAGCCTCGTTTGAAGAAGGACATGTAATAGCGCTCGGGAAACACCGTGGAGGGGAGCTCATTCCATAGCCGGATGGTGCGTGGCAAAAAATATCTCTGGAAGCGCACTATGTGGTCGCGATCCTCAACAGCGAGGGAACGATATAGAAACACACATCGTTTCAGCATAAGTATACTTTTCTGTTCAATTTTCTGGAATTTTATATCAATAAATTTAACATATCTGACGTTTTATGAATTGATAATTTTCATTGATTGAGATGATGAGAGACGAGTTCCGTGTATCGAGTTACATGTACTAAAATTATGCTTTGTTTGTTAGATATACGACAAGGTTCCAATTAAGCTTTAAAAAACTATACGAACTTTCATTTTTGTGGGCAAGAATTATCAGTTGTAGAAGAATACTACGACGCAAAGACTTAATTTAAAACCTGTTTTTATTATTTACATTAATTATTTACATTAATATGTATAAAAAAATTATTACAAAGTTTTTTTATTTTTTTTTTTAAAACCTATATTCTTTATACACTGGACAGTGCTCCAAGGAATTGTTTGAGATGATCCCTCATCTCCTTTTTAACATCGCACCACCCGCCATCGGAGCAGAGTTCATCCGTATTGTCTGGAACCGCTGCGTTCATCGACAGTGCGTTTCCAGAGGACTTTTTTGTCTCGTACCATCCGGCTATGAAATGAGCTCCCCTCCACGGTGTTTCCCAAGCGCTATGACATGTCCTTCTTTAAAAGAGGCTTGTGGAGAGTATTATGCGGTAGGCAGCGGCTTGGCTCTGCCCCTGGCATTGCTGAAGTCCATGGGAGACGGTAACCACTCACCATCAGGTGGGCCGTATGCTCAACTGCCTACAAGGGCAATAAAGAAAAGAAAAAAAATTAAGTGGTCATGGTAAAAATTAGATAAAAATATCTGAATTTTGAAGTTTATTATTTTAAAGTAGACATTATTTTACACAACAACAAAATGTCATTTTTCAAAGTTATCTGCAAGGCTTTGTGAGTATGAAGGAGTGTCTCGTAGACTGCGCTCGTTTGAACATTGAATGAAAAAGAAAAGTGTCGTGTTTCTTAGACCGCGCTGCCATCAGCGTCGCGACGAGGGAAAAATTTCAATTTAGAAGACATTTCACTAAAAAATTCTTTAGGAACATTCATGCGAGAAACTCGTAAGCAAGAATATGGAATTTATTGCACGAAAAAGGTTAGAAAGCTTATTCACGATAACGCTGCAGTTCGAAATTGTTTTTTAGCGGTAGGCTTGGCAATGCCTATAGCAACGTTGACGTTTACAAGCGATAGTGACCACTAAACTCCTGTATACTTGTCTGCCTTAACTTCTTCTTCTTGCTTCGGTTTCGTCAATACTGAGGGTCGTGACCACCTCCTCGCAACAACAGTTTATTGCGGACCATTCCACGCCATTTGCCTCTATCTGCCGCCGAGTGTAGAGCATCGTGAACTGTGGTGTCGAGGGTAGTGCGGATCTGGTCAGTCCAACGTGTCGACCCTCTACTTCGTGGTCTTCTTCCGTTCAACTTGCCAGTCACCATTAGGTTCTCTAGGCTGCCGTGATCCTTTCTTGCTTTAACTAGCAATAAAAAAATTGTAGACAATTTAGCATTTAATTTTCGATAGTTATATGAAGAATAGATTCAAACTGAAGCTTTATTTGCGGGTTCGAGTATCCCCCTCTCTTAATTAACGGAACTTGGTAATTAAATCCTGGCAAGTGGTCAAAGGGCACCGTTTCAACATGTAGAATATGAACTTTAGCCGTCCGACCTCATTTTGAATGGAACATGAAAGGGACATCTGACCGCCGCCGCGTTGGATCTCTAGTTAAGCACGTATTACAATGTTTTAATTGAGATAATTTATTTCTTTAATATGTTCGTTAAAGCCTTAATATCCCAGGTAAACAACAGCGTGACTTTTAGTTGTTTGTTTGTTAATGTTATATGTGTTATTTATGCGATCATGTTGAAGCTTGAGTGTTATTTGTGACACTTTGGTGTATTTTTTGTAATTTTTTTTTGGATATTTATTGTACTATTAACGTTGTAGGTACAAATGGTTTGGTACTTTTTTGACAGTAGGTAAATGATGTGAATCGGGCGACGTTGATATACTGCGTATAGTGTATTCGTTGTTGTTTTAAGTAGTAAGTAATAGAATAGAGAATCCATAGTAAAAATAGGCACAAGCCACTGTCTATCCTGGGAAAATTAAAGGCTTCCACTGCGTAACAAATTTAAGAAGTAAGCTATGAGTACTCTAAGTGCAAAATAATAATTTGAAAAATAAACAATTCCTAATATTATGTAATTATAGTTTTATCGATAATTATGATTTCTTTTTAACATTTTATGGTCTTGTAATCAGTAATTAATTGTGTCAAAAATATTCATAGCATTATTATGTATAAAGATAGTAGTTACCGGATATGTTAATGTGTTTTTTTATGACATATTATTAGTTAAATAAATTAATAATTATGTCGTGTAATAAATATATATGTGTCATGCACCGTATTACAAATTATGATTCCTAGTGAAATGAATATTAAGTTAAATTGATTAAGTCCATAAAATGACACTATATCTTACGCCCATTATTTTGTAATATTTATTTATTATTTTATGAATACAAATACAAAGTAGATATTCTGTTGAATTCTTTAATTCGTGCAATAATAAATATTTTCATTTATTGTTATGTACATACTTGATTAGAACTTGGTTAAGTTGCAATATGATTATAATTAATCACAATATACCCAACCAAAATACGTACATACATACTATATCTATATATTAATACGTGAAGCAAAAACTTTGTATCCCTTTTTACGAAATTTGCGCGGACGGAGGAGTATGAAATTTTCCACACTTAT